AAGAATTATATAAAATAAAATATTTTAAAAAATGTGCCCAGGATTTTGTTTTTATTCAGTCATGGTAAGACCACCAATTTAGGAAAGGACAGCCATTAGAAAGATAGTCTGTTATTTACAGGTCCTAAAAGGAGCGAACATGCCCAGGCCTTGTAAGGACTCCACGTGTTCACTGTTACTGTCAGTGCCTAATACTGCACCTGGCACATAGCAGGTACTTGATAAATATCTGTTCAAGGAACCAATTGTTATATGGGCAGTCCATGACCCCAGTCCCAAGCCTCATACATATGTTAAGGATGTATGTGATAGTCACTTGGTTCTATTATATTTCACAGGCTGATGAAGACTGTTTCTGTAATTCTGTGGGTAAACCGTCTCTTAATAGTCTGACATTGAGAAAAATATATTTAAAAAAGAAATCTAACAGAAATTTGGTGTGAAGAAAGGCTGAGGATTATGTATTGCTGTTTACTATCTGAATGTGCTTTCAAAAAGAATGGAGTTTGTACAGAAACCAGAGTGCAGAGTAAGACGTGGTTACCATTTAGCCAAGAGATGAAAACGGCACTTTAAAAAATTAAAACAGGGCCTCCTTAGAGGCGTGAAGGGTTGGGCACAGCACTGTGAAGCTATTGACAGCCTCTGCAGCACGAGTTCGATCCCCAGCCAGGGAGTTACCCACATAACACAGCAGACCTCTCCTGTCTCGCCTGCTCTCCTCAGCAGTGTATTTCAGTCCGTCTGCCTGTTCTGTTCCCCGCTCTGTCTCTGGTGAATCCTATCACCCCCCACACCTCTGGCCTCTACACTAGTTCTTCTATGCAGAAGTAAATCTTTAAAAAATAATTAAAACACAGGAGCTCCCTGGTGGCGCAAAGGGTTAAGTCTCAGGACTATGAAGATATCAGCAGCCACTGCAGCACAAGTTCTATTCCTGTCCAGGGTGCTGACCTACATGGTGCAGCAGACCTCTCCTGTCTTGCCTGCTGCTCCCCTCAGCAGTGTATTTCAGTTAATCCACCTGTTTTGCTCTTCACTCTGCCTCTGCTGGATCCTCTCACTCCCCCTGCACCTCTGGCCTACACCCCAGCTCTTGTATGCATACATAAATAAAAACCAAATCTTAAAAAATAATTGAAACACAACACTGAGTATTCACTTACATATTTCTCTCTTGAACCAATAATACTTGACCTTAGAGACATGCAGAAAGAAATCTTCACAATAATTTTAAGCAAAATATTTTAAAGAGTACAAGTCAATAGCCTAAGTATAAAAGCTAGCTTGCTCACTATTTAAAAGTGAGACGATAGAGGTAAAGAACAGAAAGTAGAGAAGCTTCAAGGGAGAAGGACACTTGACTCTGGTAGGGACTTGGTGGGAGATTCAGAGGCTTGAATCTTACCTCTCACCACCTCCTCTCAGTGGGCAACAATACCACTGTATTAATCTGGGTAAAGGTAGAGCTCCTTTTGTTGGTGAGTCTAGAGCTTATGACATGAGGTCTTAATGAGTCTTCCTTCTTCCTTTTCCTATCCTCAACTCTCCATCTACTTCATCCCAGCTCTGAAGATTTGTTGGTTTCAGTGGAAAGGCCAAGAAAGCCTACCCAGCATTGCTAGAGAAAAGGGAGACCCATGGGAGCAGGAAGTAGGTGCTTCCCCCAACTCCCCAAGCTGATGTCATGGCCGCTTGACTCCCAGTTTATCACATGAGTAATGGGAAACAATATTTTGGGTGACAGAGATAGAGGGATGTGTGTGTGTGTGTGTGTGTGTGTGTGTGTGTGAGAGAGAGAGAGAGAGAGAGAGAGAGAGAAAGAAAGAGAGAGAAGAGTGAAAATGGCTGACTTCCTTTGCCTAAGAAGGAGACGGGGCAGAGGGGTGGCAAGGCCCTGGCCCTCTTACTGATCTAATCCAAAGGCAAAGAGTAAAAACGTGGCAGAGTAAATCATGAGTGGAAGCAAATATGTGCAGTTATGGACATGGTGTTCTTGCTGATTTGTGCATAGAAATTGGCTCAGGCACTTAGAGGAAGCAAATATATTTACATACTAGACTTGAGAAATATTAAAGAGCAAAGCTGTGAGTTAAGGTAAACCTCCAATATTAATCATAGGCAAAAGGAATAATGGCTATAGCTGTTACATAAAATAGTGAGTTCACAGTTTATTTGCAGAGACTCTGTAGGAAACACAGAAACCAGACCCTAGTTGTGAATCCCAAAAATCTTGTTCCAAATCTTCCTCAAAAGTTACAGTTCCCTGGGAAAAAAGATGTGATTGCTCTAACCTTCTCCTGATACTGTAATTCCTATTTCTTCAAGATAAATTGGTTCCTTAATAAAGTTACTAAATTCTTTGCAGTGAGTAAAACCTGCTGGTTAAGATTATGTTAACTAAATTGTGGATGTCAAATTCATGTATCTTTGTAGTCGTAGAGAGATGAAAAAGCTTTTTTTCTGTATGGTTTGTCTTATACTTACCTATAGGGAATGCTTTATTTATATGCAAGTTTCCAAATAGCCATATACAGAATAACTTCTATGCCTCCATTATGTAGTATATATTAAAGAAGTCCGAGTTACCTGGATGTCCACATGCAGGTATTTGTCTGGATCCTTCCCAAGTGTGGATCAACCTCCTTTTCTTTATTCATTCAACAAGTGTTGAGAATCCCTGTGGCAAGCACTGATCTGGTACCTGGCAGACAAATAAAATGGCAGACAAAGCACTGAATTGACATTTTCATGACAGCAAGAAAAGACTCGTGCAGCCACCCCAACAATGATAAACGCAGAGGAGAAAAAGCACAGATCTCTGTAGGATGGTGTCATAAGGATACCTGAAACTTAACAGCCTGGGTCAGAAGATTTCCTGTGAGGGAGGGATATTTTTCTTGTATCTTCAAGCTGGCAACACATGAAAACAAGGTAGGGAGGGTATTTCTGGAACGAGGAGTATTAGCAAATATCCAAGGCAGAAGGAAACACACAGAGCATTGATGTAACTGAATGTGGCTGAAGTAGAGAGCTAGTACCTACCTACATTTTTTACCTCCTCTTTTCTTAAATTGACTTTTTTAAAAAAAGATTTTATTTATTTTATGCATACAAGAGCTGGGGCACAGGCCAGAAGTGTGGAGGCAGTGAGAGGAGTCACCAGAGACAGAGTGGGGAACAGAACAGGCAGATTGACCGAAGTACAGTGCTGAGGGGAGCAGCGGGCAAGACAGGAGAGGTCTGCCGCACCATGTGGGTTGCTCCCTGGCCAGCTGGGGATCGAACTCATGCTGCAGTCATTGCGGACAGCTTCATAGGTTGTGCCCCAACCCCCGCGCCACCAGGGAGGCCCTGGTTTGATTTTTAAGGACATTTTCTTATTTTTTTTTGTCGCATCTTGTCACCCATTCTGTCCATCTTTTTTCTACTTTCTTTGTCATTTCAATAACAATCATTTCTGAGTCTGCTTCTATGGACCATTTTTTTATTCTCTTGACTTCAGTTCCCTTTTTCTATTTTTTCATACATCTGGTAATTTCTATTGTATGCTGGGTGTTGTAGATAATATGTTACAGAGGTTGTGGGTTATGTTAAATTATTGGAGGGTCTCCTTAATCGTGTCAAAGCTTGGCTGTAGGCCTTGTTAAGGCAGACCTATTTCTTCTTTGCCCTTACTAAGATCTTTCTGAGGCTTCAACTGAAAACATTCTCACCAAGGTCTTACAATGTTTTTTATCCCCACTGATGTGTGAGCTCTGATATTTCTACTCAGTTATCAGCCTCTTAGCAACTTTTTTTTTCTCTTGCATTCCCACAGACTCACCCTGCAATTGTACAACTTTGGAAATTACCAAGTATCTGAGGGAAATTATACTTATCTTCTTATTAATTTCTTGTTACTTTTTACTTTATCCCCTCTCCGCCACCCCTTCCTCTGATAATTTTTTCTTCCTCTCTCTGCTTGAGTTCTTTTCCCCTCTACAACAGATTGAAAAATAGTTTCAGGAAGAAAACTAGGATAGATGTGGGATTTGCTTCTTCTGTGACATGGGATCAAGGCCCTTCCATTTTTGTCATTCAGTATCTGCAAACAATTGTTTGATATTTTTTGTTCAGTTATTGTGGTTGTTTTCAGTGGAGCACATTCACTGAATACTAGGTACCATATCATGATTGATCAATTTTTTTTTTTAATAGAAAGCTTGCAGAATCATAGTTCTATTACTCTGTCAAGCAGGTGGGAGGAGAGGAACATGCCAGTGATCCTCATCTGCTTTGACAGACAAACCTTACAAAGATTTACATTGATGTAGAGTTGTCAATTACATCATTATTCTAGAAAACATGGCCAATTAAGAAAACCAACTGAAATTATAGATTCCGTGTGGAGGTTATTTTTGGCTAGATTCTTCATGATCTTATCAGACCCCCTTGTTCAAACAACACTTCCAAGATCTGGTATATATTAAGAAAAATGGGAAAATGGAATGAATGAGTCACACTAGAAAACAAGATTGTTATTCTGTAGAGCTTCGCAATTTAATGCCTTGTCAAATTGAATTCCTTCATGAATGTGTAATGCAAAGAGCCACCTCTTTTCCAGAGCTCTAGGGGAGGAGGTTATTCCTTTATCTCTTCTCTTGACATGTTTTACTTAATTGTGAAAACTTTCATTTTTAGAGCCAGATCCTGGAATTTGAGTAATTAGTATTATAGACAGGTTTGTAGAGACCAGACATATGACTAAAGATTTTTTATTGAATGACAGGACATTTAGCATTTGTGCCCTATAATGATAACATGGACTTAAAAAGTTGCCTACAATTCTGTGATTATATCCTTCTCCTGCTTCCAAACTGATAGACACCACCTAGATCAAACATGAACCTTCCTAGGGCTGGGAGAGTGAACAGGTGTTAAACACACTTGAATTAATTACAACCCAAGTAATCAAAACAGTAAATTAACCAGAACACATTCTACTGCTTCACTTTTAGGGGGAAAAAAAGAGGCAAATGATACCAAGACAAGCTCATAACAGAGATCTAATCACCAGATGTGTACGGATGAAAATACAGGTACGAACCAATCTCTTGTACTCTTGGATTTGCATCTGAATTATTATGTAATGAATACTGGTATTCAGAGTGTCAAAGTAGAATGTAGAATCAGCAAAAGACTCTAATTTCAATAAGAATTAAATACTTTAAAAGACTATTCCAGGTGTCTGAAGATATTCTAGAAATAAGCGTAGAAGAAGAAAAGGTGTCTGCTTTTGAAGGACTATGCCCCAAGCCACCTTTGTCGCCCTTTGACAAACCCACAAACTATGGTCAGTGAAGTAGAAAAGGAAACTTCTTCCCCCTATATCCTTAAGAGGAATTCAGAACAGTCCTTCCATTCTCTTTGTCTTCATGGAATCCAGCTAGTCTTCTGAGAGCAAGGTTTCTTCTGTCAGCTTGTCAAATGGGGGTCACTTTTACACTCCAAGTAGCTTCAGATTTGAGAGTGGGAGTAATGTCCTCCCACAGCCACTTTGAGGCCCCCTGTCCTTCATTCATAGTTATCAGGCCACATGTGGGAGCCAGTGCTCAATTCCTCATGTCAGGCTTCACAAATAACACCCTCGGGAAACCACACACTTCTTTAGCTACCAGTACTCTTCTCCCCTTTGTAATCCATTTTCTGGCCTGAGTTGCCTATAGTTTCTCTCTCAGTCACCCTCTCCCGCAGTGATGATTTTGCTGCCAGACTCCCCTCTCCTCCTCCACACCCACTGCCTCCATCAACACAGATGACTTTAATGATCTTGTGAATGAACTGTTCTCTGCCATTTATCCATTGTCATGCTGTAGAACTTGTCAATACTTTCAGCTACTTCATCATTGAATCAAATAGTGCCATCATCTAGCCTCTCATTCATCACTGTGCTTTCTTTCAACTTCATTAAGAATCTCACTACAACTACTCTTCCACTAAGTACTTCCAGTTTACTTGTCCCTCCGTTTCCCCACCATTTAGGAATCCACTCACCTAGCCATTCATCAATTACCCATTGCTGCCTACTGATTTCTTCATATTACCGACAGTTTCAAGGAGCCATCATTTCAGTTATTCTCCTGCAAATTCTCTGGCAACCCTGAATGAACCTATGTGTTTTCTCCATGTCTGCACCCAGGCTGCCGAGAACAATTGGAGAAAAACACGATAGGGCAGCTTGGCACTACTACAAATTAATGGTCAGTGACCTCATCTAAGTTATCAAAGCTACCTGGCAGTTTGGTCTTTAAAATCTTTTTAAATTCCATTCTATTTTTCTTAACACTCATTTTTAGCTGATGCCCTAGCCTCACATTTCACTGGAAAAAAGGGAGTAATTAGATGGGCACTTCATATAGCCAACTATGTGACTCTTCCAACAAAGGCCAACCTTTTACATGTGCTCTAGATTCCCCTTCCTCAGGCTTTCCTCAAGGTCACTAATTATTATTATTTTTTTTATTTTAGTTCAAGCTCTTCCTGTTAGGCCCTTCCCATCAGCACTTATACATCCTCTCAATCATCTCATTATAACAAAAACATTAAAAAAAATCAACCAATCACCATCCTACTCCCACCCCCACCCCCTCAAAAAAAAATAACACCCTCTGGAAACCACACACTTCTTTAGCTACCGGTACTCTTCTCCCCTTTGTAATCCATTTTCTGGCCTGAGTTGCCTATAGTTTCTCTCTCTAAATCCTCAGCCTATATTCTCTTCACAAAATCTCTAATCTAACATCTGTTTCAACCATTCAATGGAAATATTTTTTGTTAATGTCATCAATTATTACCATACCATTTAATTTAATGTACTCTTTTTTTAAAAAGATTTATTTATTTATGCATACAAGAGCTGGGATACAGGCCAGAGATGTGGGGGCAGGGGTAAGAGGATTCACCAGAGACATAGTGGGGAACAGAACAGGCAGACTGACTGAAATACACTGCTGAGGGGAGCAGCGGGTGGCAGGAGAGGTCTGCGCGCCATGTGGGACCCTCCTCCAGTGGCTGGGGAGCAGCTGGGGATCGAACCAGTGCTGCAGAGGCTGCGGGCAGCTTCGCAACCCAGCGCTCAACTGCTGCGCCACAGGGGAGGCCCCTAATGCACTCTTTATAATCTTTGTATTGTATCATTCTCAGATACATTCTACAAAGTTGACCACTCCCTCTATAGAAACACCCCTGTGACTTCAATGATAACTAGTTTCCTTTCTACCTCTGTGATTCTTCTCTGTATTCTTTGCCAATCACTCCTCCTATCCCCTCCTGTAAAGGTGGGAGTGTCCCAAGGCATAGTTGTACCCTTTCAACTTGTTGCCCCCAAGGCAATCACATCCTTCTCAGGTGCCTTCAACTGACACTGAATCTGCAACAACTTTCAAATTCTCTCTGACACCTTGACTTCTCTGAATTGTCCACTGGGCATCTAAATATGTAGCTATGTAGTGCATGTTATTTCTGGTTTGGTCTCTTAGTTTCCCTGAGCTTGATACCCTTACAGAGCCCAAGGCAGCGTAGCTGCTTTTACCTTCCACTCAGTACAGCAATAAACCAGCCCATCAGGTAATTTAGGTTCTCTGCTTTTGTGCTCTGCTATGATCATAAGTCAAATTAACATTTAGATTTTTCTATAAGACAACTCAAATCTGAAAGATCGGTTGCCTTCTCTACATTCAGGAAAGACACACAAGACAGAAATTTGTTTGAGCTACACATGTGTACATCAGAATCCATTGCTTTCACAAAGGAGAAAATATAATCCTTATTTCTTACATCACAAACATCTGTTTAAGAAAGGCAAAAAATAATAAAATTTAGCATACCTTGACAAAATAACACTGTCTCTGGAAAGATCACTTTACATTAAAATCTTAATTCTTAAAACAGCCCTACCAAGATCTCACAAAAGCAGCCTGAGTCCTCCTTAATAACCCAGGACACTGAAGCACATGGGGATTTTAAAGACACTTTCAATTCAATCACAGTTAACACTCACTCTTTGAGTGGAGTGTACAGCAGGAGTGGATTCAGACAAAAATCTGTCCCTCAAAGAATTCAAGCTGAGCTCACAGCCACTCAGCAACACTGTTATAACATAATGTGATATGTCCGCCAGTAGGAGGGGGTACAAATTTCAGTAACAGCCCAGAGGAGGGGCAGATTCTTTGACAAGGTAAGGTGTTAGCTGGGTTATTTAGCTGAATGTGAGTTTGCCAAACAACTGTGCTAGAAAGATGAAAAGCATCTTCAAAGGGGCATCTTTTGATCATTGGATGATGTTTCTGACCTACTGCAGGTTGGTAGTGGAGTTGGTAGTGGGAGATAAAGGGGAAAAGTAGACCCTAACCAAATCATGAGGAACCTTCTGTGCCATCTTAACTGAGAAGAAAGGACCTCATTCTGTAGCTAGAGGTCTCTAAGTAGGGGATGGATAAGTGACCTATTTGAGTGGGGAAACAGATGAAAAAGGAGATAAATTAATGACTTTGGTTCCTTTTTCTTGATTCTCTTGCCTCCTGCCTATAGAGAATTATGAAATTATTTATTTATCAATACATGCAAGTCTAGTCTAAGTTTATGTGTCCGCAAGTTAAAACAATGCATTGTATAATTTAGATGTAAGAAAATGAACAATGTCATGTTATTAAAATTGCACTCAGAAAATTCTGTACTTCTTGCATCTTTATCTGGCTCCAATATGATAAACAAGGTTTTTACTTCTAAAACATTTGTTAAATGTTTTATCTGTGCGTGAAGGAGACTAATCTTGTGTCATACTTGTTCCCTCCCCTTCCCTGGGGACAGGTAGTTTGTTTAATCAGAAACAGCTTTTGTATAAGTCTGTGAGACAGTTGAACCACTTTAGTTTGTCTTCATTTCCTGGAACAAAGCAAAGCAATGAAGGCTTCGTTTTGACTTCCTTAATGGGTTGTCAACTCCAAGACAATTAGGATCCTTTTAGGCTACTATTTTTTTCTAAAGCCTCAGCAGGTTCCCAAATCAGTCCTGGATTTTGCAAAGATGCTACTTTCTGTGGAAAAGCACTCTGATTTGAAATAAATTTCTGTATGCAGCTTTCATTACCTGGAACTGGTTTCCCAACAAGAACTGATACTGTTCAACACGCATTGTATTAATATGTAAACATTTTGGTTGCCAAGGAGACAAATGGACAAGGGAGGGCAAATGGATGAAGATATCCTTAGAGACTGCTTTGGTAGTTATATGTGTTTTTGCTGCTGTGGATGAATGGACACAGAAGCCATTGTTTGTAGTGTGTGACTCTACACTCAGAGGAAAGCATTAACTCCTGACTTGAGAGAGAAGAGCAAAATTCTAGGCAAGACTAAAGATCTCTAATAGAGGTGGTACATGTGGAATGAAAACAGATTAGGAATACAGATTAGTCCACCCTCATTGGGTCCTGGGGACTCCATTTACTAGAACTATGTGCTTGGTGGGTTATCTGACTTCTCCTTATTTCTGCTTCCTTATTTGCAAAATGAGGCTATTATGAGTTATGAGAATTAAAAGAGTTAAATGCATAAAGTCCTTGAATAGGGCTTGTGTTGCTCCTTAATGATGTTTGCTATTATTATCCTTGTTGTGCTCTATGATCTTTGTCTTTCTTTCCAGTAGTCCACCCAGGTTATTTTAATAACTATCCCCTCCATTATGGCCCATGCTACTACTACACATATATGGGTCTGTCTCTGGGCTATTTTGTCTGACTGATCATCTATTAGTCTGTTTCCAAGTCAATACTCCATTGTTTTAATTAATATTCTTTATTATGAGTGTGGCTTCTTGGTAGGACAAGACACTATTTTTATTCAAAGTTGCCTTGACTTGTCTTTTATACTTCCATAAGGACTATATGCTTATCTTGCCAATTAAAAGAGTATCTGGTATTTATTGGAATTGCATTAAATTTACAGATTTCTTAAAGATATTCAGCATACTGAGACTAGTGAATATTTTGCAGATTTCATTTTTTTTTCAATTTTCATCATAAAGGTCTTTAATTATCAGATTA